AATACTCTTCACGTTCCTGTTGTACAATTAGAAATATTCTATAAAAAATATGGAGACTTGATGATTTTTCAAATAAATCTAGCTATTGTAAGTTATGTTTTGTTTAAAATATATGTATGAAATATATGGATTGTGAAAGAGATTCGCTTCTAAAACTATGGATCTTAAATGCACAATTAAGATTTAAAAATACATTGAGATCTGATTCAATTAGAGACGATCCGGTTTTGGACACATATTTATAAGAAATCGATTGATCTCATTGATAAATTTATCAATATTTTGTATTGTATAGAGAAAAAAACATGTACTTAAAAAATCCGTAAGAAATTGGAAGTTTTTCTTTTACAACACACAGTGTTTTCAACATTCTTTGGTTTACTTGATAAAAAAGAAATTCTCAATTGAATTTCTATTATCATCACAGCTTGACAAATATCTTTTCCTCGATAAAAAATGGACTGTTTGTTGCGGAATGCAAAAAAACTGCAAATGTTGCATGGCATGTTTCTTAATCTTCTAATTATAAAATAAACTTTACCGTTATAATTTAATATGAAGATACGATTAATATTGTTAATGCAATTTATACGAACATACATTGCACACAATATTCGAACAAATGTTAGAATTGTTAGAATTAGTCTTTTCTAACATTTTGTATTACTTAAAAATAAATTCTTATAATTAGATATCTCAATTGGTGGTGGAATATTAATATATATTTAATAAACCTCTGTTTTCTAGCGAATCCTTCAGCGTTTGGAATAACTGCAGTTGTTGTTCTGGTTTTAAGCTATATACCTGCATTGAATAGAAAAAAATAATTCATACTACAGTATTTACATATACATACATAATAAACAAATAATAAAGAGCTGAGACAATAGCAGTACCAACTATTATAATACAAATTTGTAATATTTTACCTGTTGGAGAAGTTTTTGTGGTGAAGCAGTTCGAATAAATGAAGATATATAAACATTCACAAATGTTGCCATTAAATATTGACAATCGAATCTATCCATTATTCCTCCATGACCAGGGATAACATCTCCAAAATCCTATATGAAATGAAACGCATTTTATCACCTACAATGAAGTTTGTATTTAAAATAAAAAATACCTTAATTTTAAATGCCCTCTTAAAACCACTAGCAAAGAAGCCTCCAAATGGTCCGATTACAGAACTGAATATTGACATTGATAGCGAGTGAAGTAAGAATGGATACAATGTTATTGTAGATTTTCCACTAACCTGGAAAAGGAGAAATAGAACTTATTTAAGATGTTCTTACAAAATGCAGATTGCGTTTTGAATTTTCAAATGAATTGCCTACCACTTTCCATACAACTTGCAAACTGTTAGGCAAGGCATATTCCTGAGGTTGGAACAAACTGGATGGTTCACAATCAATAGTCATTCGTCCTAAAGCTTCACTGTATTCAATGGGACAGACAAAGTAGCGATACTGACACACGATATATGATATCTGAAATATTCTTTCTTTCATTTTTGTTCTCAAGAATGTAATTTAATTCGATAGAAATATTGATATATTACCACTAAACCGAGCACTACTGTTGAGAAACCACCACCTATAAAACCTTCCCAAGTCTTTTTTGGTGACAGTTTAATTAAAGGTGTTTTGCCAAAGAAGAAACCGAACATATAAGCCATTACATCATTTATTACTATCATACTAACTGGTACAATAAACCTGAACAAAAGAAACATAGTCATTAAAAAAATAATCCCAAGACAATATTAATTTATGTAAATAAATGACTTACCATATCAAGCCTTCAAAAATATTCGTAATTATCAGATAACTTTGTGTCACAACAATAAGTAGAGCAACATGCGTCCAAGCAAATAGGGAAAACTGTTTCATATAGTATTTCTTTACAAGTGATAATACAAACCATACGAAACCAACAATGTATAAGCAAAATGAAATAAAGCGATGATAGGTAACAAGTACACGTAAATAGTCCTAAAACAATAAGAAAACTTATTATTAAAAATGTCTGAAATATTTAGAAAATTGAAAATGTGTAAAATGTCATGGATTCTAAATTTGTTTGTAGTATTTAATGCGGAAAATACTGCATTTCATATATAGATCGTATATAGATCTAATAGAAGCCTCAAAAAGTAGAACTGGAAGCCATATAAACTATATAAAGATAATACTCAAAGGTGACCATTGATTTTATGTCAATCCATAT